AATATGAACACCCCTAATCATAGGACGACCAGTCTCTGAGGCAACTGGTGGGATAGATTAATGGAGTATCTGAGGTTCTTGGAATAATTCTCAGAAACTTATCTGATGAAAGAACATCCCAATTTGTAGTGCACGTCAAGTGAAGGCCATGGCCTTCAAAGAAGTAATGATTTTTTTTTGTTAGAATTAATTGGGATTTTGGCTATCATTTTGGAAAGTAAATCGCAAACTACTATTCTGCTCTTATTGGTGGAAAGCTCTGAACCACTATAAGGTATATGAGCCCGAATCTGCTACCAACTATATGAATTTGTATCGCCAATTGTAAGGTGCTGATGAAGAAACTCACCACTACTTTTTTGGGGGTACTACATACTACTTGGGCAACATGACAGCGCATGGCTTAGCAAAATTTGGTTGTTTTTTGATAGTGTTCATTAGGGTTAATCTTCCTGACTTTTTAATTTTTTATCACCTATCTTTGGCCAGGACCCATGTACTAAGAATTCTTGATGAATGAGATTGGTCTTAGGAATAATCCGTATCATCAAATTCATAACCAATCAACCGGTATTCATTCAAGTTCACATGGGTTTGTGATTGGTTATTATTTATTAAAGCTTTTCAAGTACCTTTCCGGTATATATCATAGAAATTGTCATCCTTAATTAATGCTCCACATAATTTTTGTGCTGGAAAAGAGTGCAGTTGAATGAGGTTGCCCTCTTTTCCAGGGCACAAGCCCTCCTTGCCAAGGCACCCTTTTTAACATTATGGGATCCAAACACAATTCATAGATGGGACAGAAATGTGCCCAAAATTAATGGTGATTCAGTTGGTAAGTTTTTTGGTTGTAGCGGAGCTAGGCTGTGTTTTATTGCAATGCAAATAAGTTTGCATCATGGCAGTACATATGATTTAAGTGTAAATTCCGACATATTTTTGTTTCAAATATTAATTTATTTTGTTTGATTACAGTATAAAAAAATGAAGTAAATTAAAACATGAAGCAGAATAAAGTAAAATTCAAAATAAAATTAAACAAGAATTTGCATTTTTTTTACACTTGCACTCCTATGCATTTGTACTAGTGCAAATAAAATTGCACTGCAATCAAACACAGCCCTAGAGTCTAATTAGTTCTAATCCATGTTCCATTCTACAGGGCTGTAAATGGTATTCGTTTACTGAAACTTAACCTCAAATTCAATCTGGTTAAGGGTGATTTGAATTTTATCTGTTTGCAATTTGGATTTGAATTTCATCTACTGTTTGTAATTTGGATGGAATATGAATTTATTCCTATCCAATTCAATTTGGTTTAATTTAAAAGTTGATGCTTTATACTTAAAATTTACGGCCTTTTTATTAGTAGAGTTGGTTTTAATATTGTACTTCTTAGGATCATTTACTAAAACAGCCCTTGTAATTTCATGGATTTACTAAAGTTTACCCTTTCGTTTTACTAAAACACCCTTTATAGTTTACAACCAATTTAATTAATCAACTTTCCATTAGATGGAAGCGGGAAATGACAGTTTTGACCTTAATATCCCTTCAAATAAAATTTGTTGTCTATTTGAAGAAGGAAGACATGCCACAGTTGATGAAGAATAGTAGAACACTGAATGTCATTGTTTTCTCTTCTTAGTTCTATTGAAGACAAGCATTTTTTGATTGGTCTGAAAGTCAACCCTTGTTTCTTTCTAGAAGGTCAGTATGAAGTTTTAGGGGTGCTTTCGAAATAAAAAAGCAAGGGCTCATGCCCTTAAACATTTTCCACTTTGTTTTACATGGTCATGTTACCATTTTTAGATTGGAATATAAAGGATTCTCAATAAATGACTATTAAGTAAATTGGTTGCAAACTATGTGGGTGTTTTTAGTAAAATGTAAACTATATGGTAGGTTTTAGTAGATCCGTGAAACTAAAGGGGTGTTTTAGTAAATGACCCTACTTTTTACTTAGAGCCTATTTGGGAGGGTTTTTATGCAATGACTACTAGCTTTTCAAAATGAGCCTCATATAGAAAGCCCAGAAGCTATGTCTCGTGAAAAAGTCCAAATACACTTTTATTGAGCTAAGAGAGTGACTTTCCATTTAGACCTGTTCAAGGGTCGGGTAGTTTGACAAGCTTGGTTGCAAGTTTAGGCTCAAGCATAGAATTTAGGCCTATGGAGACGGGCTTAGGTTGTAAGTATCAGGTTTGAGTAAGTCTTGGAATTTTGTAAATAAGCCCAACCTTATGATATTGTATATAATAAAAGATATATTACGATTTACTAATGTATTATTATTACTAATATGATAAAAAATATATGATAATAATGTATAATAAAATTTGCTTATTCCTATTTAGACTGGGCTTTACGCTTGGGCACAGGCTTCGAATTTTATATAAGGGTCAGGGTCGAGCTCAAGGTCTAGGCCTGATGATTAGGCTAAGCTTGGACTTGAGCATGCACAAGGTAGGCCCCATATAGAAAGCCTAGAAGCTTTGTTTGGTGAAAGTCTTGAAAAGCCATGAACAAGATATGCTTTCCATTCAACCTAAAAGAGTTGCTCAATGGCTTCTATGTTTGGGTTGAGTTGCATTAATGTACTTCTTTGGTTGAGAACTCATGTTCTTAATAAGTACTTAGAATAACTAATTTTGGCACATTTGGAACACCCATGTTAGTGAAGGGTGAGCATGGGTTGAATTGGTTAGGTTCCAAGGAAAAACTTGGAATATACTCTATAGGGCTCAGTTCTAGGTTTTTGGAACTAGAACCTACCTTAGTAGGGTTAGTTTTGGCCTTGGTGGTTCTAGGGTCAATTATAAGGTCCATCCATGGAACCTATTCTTTCTTTAACCCCCCCTCCCCCACTTGCGAAGAAAAAAAGACTCTTGTTTTTTAAAAAACTTGATTTGTAATAATAATATTAAAAAATTATCATTATAATTTAAATTTTAAATATTATCTTTTACATTACTTGTTATATATAAATATTAAATTGAAGAAAAATGTTCAAATCACTTAAATTGAAGAAAAATGTTCAAATCACTGGGATGGAAAAATAGGAATATTCTTTAAAGATTCATATTTTCCCAAGTTTGTTTTGGGCGAAAGGGTGAGATGTGACAAGAATACACGTCTCAATTTTTGGGATTGTGGGGTCTCACCAAATAGGTGTGACCCCACTGGGAAAGGAAGTTGAGTGAGAAATTTTCATCGAGGAGGCAACTGAGTGTAGTCTTCTTCTCAAACACTGTCTGGCGGTTTACTCACTAGCACCATCTCTAGTTTTCATTGCCAGAAAATGGCTTTCGGCTTCTGGCATCCAACAGTTTTCATTGCCAGAAAACGACTTCCGGCATTTGCCTCTCCCAGATCTAGTGTCGTTCTTCCACCGGCGTTTGCTTCTTCCAGAAAATGGCTTTCGGCTTCCGGCATCCAACAGTTTTCATTGCTAGAAAACGGCTTCCGATGTCTGCCTCTTCCAGATTTGGCATTGTTCTTCCACTGTCGTTCTTCCACTGACGTCTACCTCTTCTAGAAAATGTCTTCCAATAACTTTCATTTCTTCTCCCTTGAACAAATTGGTCTTAGCAACCAAACACATGTGACAAGGTTGAGAAACAAAAATTCCCTTCTCATCCCATCCCATCTCATCTCATCATTTCTTAGCAACCAAACGGACCATAAGTGAGACAATGGCCTTTATAAAATAGTGCTTTCGTTTCATATCTTCACATCCTTAAAGTATTTTTGGGTTATTTTCAAGGTGAATTTAGTTCCAAGCATGGTTACCCTATCTGGTAACAAATTGGGTAGGGTCCGCTAATCCAAAATCAGCTCCATTTAATTTTGGGTAAAATCTACCTATTTACTCACTCATGTTGGCTTTCCGAATTTTCATCCAATATAACTTCAGAGATTTCCATACGGTGCAGCCTAGCTTAGAATGCCAAAGGTCTAGAAGTTGTGCCTCAAAAGCCCTTTCAAACGGGTACTTAATAGTTTCTTCAAAGCGACGAAAGCAGCTCAATCAAAGCTGGGCTCTTAAAGCAGTCATTTATCCAAATTCAATACGAATGCGATATGAATATGAAAGCTGAATCCTTTCCAAACGGGTTCTTAAAGCAGTCATTTACACGAATGCGATATGAATATGATGAATAAGAATTAATTTGAACCAAAATATATAAAAAATCATATTGGATCCTCCTTATATCCAATTCGATCGGATCCATTTCCAGCCCCACAATTCTAATCTCTATTTGTAAAGCTCAGTTCTAGATTCTAATCCAAAGATGAAAAATGGAAGAAGAAGATACTAGAGGCTATCCTACTCACACGCAAGTAGATTTGAAACATTTAATGATTATGCTACTACCTAATCGAGTTTGGATTGGCTCTGCACAGAGTGCACCCCACAAAAGTCCCACAGCTCGTCCCAACCATGGGAGATGTTCCCAATGCACAGTTAGAATGTGTAGTGGGGCGCGTATAGGTGGGCAGCCAAGTTGAATTCTACTGAGCCACCGGGTGGACACACCTGAACCGAGACCGAGATAATAGGCACCTGACAAAGGGGTCGGAGCTCGGTAATGCTGAGTTCTTACACTTATAACCGCTAGAATACAGACATACGGGAACGTATAAATCTTCGGAATTAAGACATACGGCAGAGACCAGAGACAGCGAAGATCAAGGAAATTAATTAAAAATAATTATAGTTATTAAAAATAAAACACAGAGAGATAGAGAGAGAAAAAAAAAATAAAAAAGCCATCTTTTCATTCTTTTTCACAGTTTCCAGCCATGGCCGGTGCCACCGTGACTGACTGGTTCCTTCTTTTCCTTAATTTTCCTTTTCCGACTTTGCCATCCAAAATTTCCTTTTCTTCTTTTTTATTTTTTCTTATTGGCTTGTTTTGCTTCTATCCTTTTCTTATTCTAATAGAATTAAGAAATGAAAAAAAGAAAAAGCCTCTAAAACCCCCAGAAACCCAAAAGGAGGAGAGAGAAGAGGGAGAGAGAAAGAGTTTAGAGAGAGAGAGAGAGAGAGAGAGGGAGCAATTATTCGCTTTTTTAAGTATCCTCTCTTTTGCCAGCTCTGCATCGCTTCCCATTTCGCATCCCTTCCTCCCACGTTCTGCTCTCTGCAAAGTGAAAGATAGAGGGAAAAGGAAGGAGTGATAGAGATCTAAGGTATGTTCTATTCGTATCTGATGATGATTCATTGTAAATTGTTCTCGTATTTGTGATCTGATTGGTGCTGAGATCACTGAATTTCGTAGATCTTCTTGGCCTCTGGACCTGCTTCTGATTGCTTGTAGGTTTGCCGTTTTTTTTGGTATCTGCTGCAATTGTATGTGAATCTTGTTGATCTGAGCTTCTGCATGTGTCAACTTCGTTTTCAGGAGATCTTCAAACTCTAGAGCATACTGTCTTTGATTGCTTGTCTTTTCCTTACTGTTCTTTTGCTTGATCATTCTATTATTTCTTTTTGTTGAAAGATTGGAGGTTTCCTTGTGTTCTTATTGTCGATTGTGTGGGTTCCTGTGTTGGAGATCTATTAATTCACTGTATGGCATGCTCTGATGTGTTGTTTGTGCAATCGAGGGGATTTTAATTGTGAGTTGTCATTTGGACAAAGTGATAGACTTTCCGAGAATTTCTTTCAGAGGATTACAAGTGGACTGGATGCATTCTTTCGCTTTCTTAGAAGATTATGGTTAAATATGTAGATCCCTGGTATCTCTAGGATTGCCTATAATCTGGCAGACCACTTTGGAATAGCAATTTCACCCTGGGGAATCAGCACAAATAGTTCAGAATGTAGATTATAGTTTTTAGCTCTCAATCAGTTGGGATCTTCTTGATCGGTTCATTTCTCCAAAGCTGAACCTGGAACATTTGTATATTTCGGGAAAAGTTATCAGTAAATGAGAATAAGGATAAAAATGGATCTCCAGACTCATCACCTGGTTGAAACAATGGAAGGAGAGAAACTGCATCATTTAATGTGCATGCAAAGTATATGAAGTTGATAAGTCACTACAACTTTGAAGTTGAAGGGAGGCAATCGTGGAACACATTGATTTATTTACTTTTTTCTTTTGATTAGTAAGAAAACATACTTTCTTTTTGTTTATCCAGATTGGCATGTTTAATACAAGAATTGAGTGATATTTTTATATTAAACTACTAATGCATGTCCTGCTTTCAAGTATATTTGCATTTGAGAAAAATATGTGTCCAAGTGGGTGATCATTTTTCTGTAACAAAAGGCTACTGCTTCTATGAACAGTCTTTTCTTTAGGGTGTGTGTGTGTGTGTGTTTCTTGTTATATTCCTCACTCTATTTTGAAACTGTTATACCCACAATGTTAAAAACATGCTAGAGCTTTATTATTATTATTATTTTGATAATTGAAAGAAAGTTATTAATCAGCAACGGAAAATAGTACAATGTCCCCAAGGAGAGGCACGAGATGCAACCTCTCCAGGCTAGTTAAGTACAGCTTTCCAATATACTATAACAACTTACACAGTAGCGCAGAAAAGATCGTCCCTGGAAACCCCCTGTTTGGCCAAAGAATCAGCCATAGTATTAGCAGACCTGCTTACCCATTTTACCTCAACTCTCATATTACCAGTTAACCACTTTACTTTTTTGATGAGGTCTTTGTAGCCCCAAATGGTAGCATCCGGGTTTAGTGCTAGAGCTTTATTATGTTCAAGTAGACTACGAAATGTGCACTCTTTGGAGGAAGTTAAGTTTGTAATTCAGTGGGTTGGTCATGCAAAATACTTGATCAATGATTTTGAGTATCAGAGTATGTAACCTCTAGTGTTATCAAAGCATTGGCTAGTTGAGTCTGACTAGATACTCATGATTCTCAGACCACCTGCATCACTAACCACTCTGTGACTCATTATGTGGTCTCCTAGGTTGACTAAGCATTGACTAGGTTGACTAGTTGATTAATGAGTAGTCAACCTAGTCAACTGCTAAGTTATTTTATAACTTTATTTGTTTGTTTCCATCTCTAATTATTTGAGTTAATGCAGAATATGTTTGTATTTTGTTATATTCATGCTGTTGAACATTTATGGAGCATGATTGGCTGATGGTACATAAAATAGAAAAAAGGCATTAAATAAAGGGTAAATGCCTTAAACCTCCCCTGGGTTTTGTGACAATACCTTAAATGTCCCCTGAACTTTGGCCTGACCAAAAACCCCCTGACTTTTGGGAGTAGATGGACTTATAGACCCTTTCTGTTAATATTACATTAGTAACCTAAGAGAAATTGCTGATATCATGGCTTTCAACATGTTAAATTGCTGATACTGTGTCTAGCATCTGAAGGAGATGTAAGTAGAACGTCCCTCTGGTATATGCTTTGACAGCTTTGTCACAGCCCATATCACTTCGTTGAAACAAGTGATGATGATTGTTCATCATCTCCTGAAATCTCCTTAAAATTTAAATGAAATTCAAAATAAAAAAATGACAGCAATCATCAAAGCCTTATCCTCACCATATGTGGTAAAGTCTGAGGGGTCCGCTAATGGCACCACTAATGACACTCTCTCCAATTAAACACAAAATACTTTTTTTTAATCTATAAAACTAATGAACCCATTGTTTTATTTTAATAGGAGACAGCTCAGATATGTCGGGGGGGGGGTGGGAGGAGTGGATTGAAAAGAGGAATGGAAAACTGTGAATTACACCTCAAGGGTGTCAGAAGCCAGAGCAATATCACCCAATTCACAGAGAAATTTCCCTTCTTAGTCTCGTAAATTCGTAAACATGGACACATCTGTTTGCAGAAGAAACATTGATAAGAGAAAATGCTGCAATATTTTTATTTTTTTTTGAGAAATGGTAAATTATATTAATAGTTTTTTGAGAGCAGAGAGAGCTTGGCCATCGACAGGACAGAAGGAGAAATCAGATGGAATCAATAGCTTTTTGAGAGGAGAGAGATCAAAGGTGGGATATAAATGGTAGACAGATGGAGAAAGAGGGAAGTTGGGTGTTGGGCGTCTGACAGTTTTGTTACTTCTGGTTTCTGTTTTCTAATAATAAATAATAATAAGGGTAAATGCCTTAAAACTTCCCCTGGGTTTAAGGTATTGTCAGGGGAGGTAAATGCCCAACAGGGTAAAATACTAGTGTTTGAGCATCATTGGCTGGACTGTCTGAAAAGGTTAATATGGGCATAATGGTCATTTAAACTCTCCACCTACCTAAAAGTTATTGAAGAAGTTTAAAAGTCCATTTACTCCCAAGGGTCAGGGAATTTTTTGGTCAGGTCAAAGTTCAGGGAAATTTAAGGTATTATTAGAAAACCTGGGGGGTGGAGTTCTTAAGACATTTACCCTAAAAATAAAAGAAGGCACTGGGGAGTTATTTTAAGTTTTCTTCCTATCAGTGGTGTACTGTTATAGTGTTGCCACAAGCAAGGGGCACATTGAATAGTCAAGTGTGCCCTCTTTCTTCAGAAAACAAAGGCTGTAATGCTCCTTTCTAGCCTATTCAGCCTAATTTAAGTTTACAAAACAAAGATTGTAAACTAAATATTCAGTATCATTATTTGTGCATGCTTGTAATCTATAATGATCTATTTATGAGATTTTACAAATATCATGAATCTAGAATATGTATTTTTCATTCACTACATCACCTAGGCACTGACTAGAGAGGTCAAATTGACTAGTCTATCTCCTCACTGCATTGACAATACTGGTGTTCTCATGATAGGATATTTTTTGAGCATATCTTGTGAAGGGGTCCAATTTGCAGTATGGTGATGTTATCAGTTTTTGTTTTTTGTTTTTTGTTTTTTTTTTTTTTTTTTAAATAAGAAAGAGCAGTGAGTTTGCAAGAACTACTGATTGAGGCATTTCCAAGGTGTTTCTGAAGATGAATATAGTGGCTAGATTTTGCATGAGAGTTATGACAGATAATTTAGGTATGAAGGTGCCAGTACAGGATAATATATCTGATATCACGTCCTTGCCATATTCCAGCAACATATCTGATACCATGTCTTTCCCATATTCCAACAACATAGATGGCTAGAGGCTTTTAACTTCGTGGGGGTAGATCTTGAAGATTTCCGTACTATCACATATCACTTTTGGACTTCTAAATGATTATTTTGTATTTTCTGAGACATAAAGAATTAAACTTCACCATTCACAATCTAATGCACAATCTATAAATTGGCAAGTTATGCACGAAGTCGACCAGGGGAAAACCTGATTGGTTTGTTTAGATTGTGGAAATATTGTGCATCTACTTTCCTGGTATAATGGAAGATTACTTCAGTCCAGGAAATTGAATGTGGAATTTGTGGATGAAAGCAAGCTACAAAATGACTATTTTTGCAGATGGTCTAGTGAATAACTTGACAAAGATAGGTGTCAATCTTATTGAGCTGGAATGGGGACAGATGGGGCTGGGTGAAAACCTGTAACTGTGCATTAAATTTAAAGAGTGACCTTACCAGAGGATGGCTGGTTGTTATATATGGTCATACACTTCCAAGAGTTTTGGAGAGTAGTATTGTTCATTTTCATTTTTTTTCATTTAATGAAATTGACAGTTACTGATATAAAAAGACTTTTGGTAGTCTGGAAACTTTAGATTTTATGGTGCTTAAGTAATGACAGAGCTTAAGCCAGGCTAGAATATGCCAAAATGCAGGGCATCCATAGAACAATCACCTCTTTTCATAGAAATGGGGTCATTGGTATTTTGTTTCGATTACCTATATCGATGGATGTATTCTGGAACTAGCAAGTGTGTATATGATTAAGGGTGGTTAAGCGTATTTAAAATAGTCATGTGAAGCCATGAAATCAAAAGGATGCAAGAATGGATATGAATGTGGAAGTGGTGGTTTTTGGGGTCCATCTACTTAGACCATCACCTTACCTGAAGTCCTTAAGATATAACCATGTTGAGAAATTTAGTTTTTGTTTCACCGAAGACCCWTACAACCTATGATGGATTGTGCAATGAAATCTATTTTGTGAGTGGTATATTAATTTGTTCTCTTGTGAGCTTAAACTGGGTGCTGGTTTAATGAAGCTTCCAATTTTCTCAGGCATAGGATGAATGGTTTGTTATGGAAAAGTACCAACTTTGAAGGTTTTCTTAGTACAAATCAGAGAGAAAGCAATTGAGGTTGTCTGAAATGAATTTAAATGAGAAGATGATTACTATCTGGTACAGACAGCTAGGTAGTGCCGTGGTGTCTATTCTTTTAGCCTCTGATGCATTTGCTTGATGACTTGGTCAATAGTCATCCAGGTGTTACCTAGGCATGCGCCTAAGCAACACCTAAGGAAAAAAGGTATTTACCAAGGGGCCTTTGTTTGGGTGATCATTTCTACCTGGCATGGCTTGTAAATTTCTGGGCTTGGGCCTAGGTTTTGTGCGCAGGCCCAGTCTGCAATGCATGCTAAGTACTGGTCAACCAGAATATTTTAATAGTATTATACAATGTCAGTGTTTACAAATGGCAGTTGTCCAAATATTTAATCACTCAATTGAGACATTTAAAGAAGTACAAAGCACAGGAAAATGTTTTCAAAATAAGCATATGTTCAACTTTTTGCACATAGTTGTTGTCCAAATGTTATAAATTTCAAGTCTGTTCTTTGATTAAATTATAAAACGAAGCATAGAGTATAGGCTGGAACCAGGCCCACAGACTAGATCCCTTATAACAGGTGCTAAGCCTGGCCCAGCCCATGACCACCCCTACTTTATATCACAATCTTTTTTTTTTTTTTTTTGCATATATGTTCAGTGCCTTGTTTTGCAAGGAAAAGGGGAAGGCAGGTTTACATGTTGTATTATATATATGTTATATATGTGTTGTAACTCTTCTCTATAATACACTATATCATAAAATGACTATATTAGTATGTTTTACATTACTTATTTGCTTGACTTCTTGCTGCAATACATCCTTGCTCAGATTCAATGTGCAATACTTTGCTTATTGTATTGATTTGATGTGTTAGAATAGTCTTTTTCTTGGATTCACTATGCTATTGACTAGTTGCATTACTTATTTGTTCAGATTCTTGTTATATGAAAATTCATGATTTTGAATATTCTTTGCTACATTGCTCAGTGGAGTTGACTATATTGTATATGAGATATTGAACTCAACATGACCAATTGGTGTGCATTACCCTGCTAGTTGTCTAGTGAGCGTTAGACTCCTTACGTATCTAGTTGGTTAACTAGTTCTAGTTGACAACTAAGAATGCCTCGACTATACTGGAAACTAGGTTGCTGAGGGTTTTTTCCATAGTTGTCAAGGTGACGCCTAGGCAACAAGGCGCCCTTGGAGTCTTGCCTCACCTAATCGCCAAGCAGTTTTCTATAGCGTGTTATAACAAACTTTTATATTCCTAATTTTTTGAGGTTATAATTATAAAATAGACATCTTTAAACTAAAATACTCATTTTGTGCGTTTGTACTAATTTCTTTTTGTTATTTTCTTATTTGTTAGGGTTTAATCAACACAAACATTTCTAAATGCTGTATTAAACCCTCAAAGACTTCAAAACCTGAAYCAATAAGTRAGRAAGAACATAAAATGTTGTCCAATCAACACATTTTCTTCTTTTTCTTTACTAATTTTGTGTTTTTATATACTAATTTGTTGTTGTTGTTGTTATTATTTTCTTCTTCCACCTTTTGTTTTCTTCTTTTCCTAAAACAGAAATAGAGGTTCAGCCCCTATATTTTTTGAATTTTCTTTTCTTTCTTCTTCTTCTTCTCATGAATATATTGGAATATGTTGATTTTCTATACTTTAACATGAAGTTTATACTTTTCTTATGAAAATTATGGATATTTAAATATGATTATGGAACCTAGGGAACTACCCAAGGATACATGCTTTTACTTGAAAAAAATCCATTGCCTAGGCGACTAGGCGCCCCCCTGTTTCCTAGCCTCGCCTTGGCGCCTTGAAAACTATGGTCTTTTCTATATTTCCATTGTGATGCTTGTGGCCCCTTAAGCATACTGGTTAGGGATTCACATGCCCTACATCAAGGAGTGGTTCCCTATTTAGTTCCTATTATCATTGTTCAAGAACTTGATTGCTATGTTTAGTTCTGAACCTTGTACTAGTATGCTTATATTGTAGGTATTAATACACAACTAGAAAGGTTCCATATGATTTTGTCCCTCTAATTTGTAATGGATTTAATACAACTCATCAAGAGAGTGAGATGCTGATCATAAAGCATCACATCCCTTATCTATGATGGCATCCAGGCTAGGTA